AGTCTGGCATCCGGGACTAATGTACAAACTCCGTAAATTCTTATCACCTATATACTTTCTCATTATCCGTTCCTACCTTAGTGATAGATACTTCAAAGTAAATCACAAAAATGCCTATTCATCTCTTTTTTCTCAGTTTAGTGGTGTTTCTCAAGGTAATATCCTAGGTCCTATCCTTTACACAGTTTATAAAGCTGACATTCCAACCCTCCCATCACTGTCATCACCACCTATGCCGATGACACGTGCATCCTATCAGTTAGCAACGATTCATCAATTACATCCCAAACTCTCCAATCACACATCACAAGTCTTAAAAAATGGTGTCAAAACTGGAGGATTAAAATAAACTCTTATAAATTCCATCAAATTACTTTTACCCTTTGTCGCAAACCTATGACTTTCTGCCCTACTGTATCCTTAAACAATACCCCACTTATCCCTGTTGAACAAAATCGATACCTAGAACTCCACCTGGACAAACGACTCACTTGGAATCCTTATACTAGACTGGAACGACATGAAACGGCTCAATGTTTTCGACTACTCCAGAACTTACTAAACAAATGCTCTAAACTTCCAATTACTTATAAAAGACTTATATATATATGACTATTGTTTAGGGTTGATCACCTTAAATTGATATTAACCCTCCCCCCTTCATAGGGTGCAACTAAAACATCACCAATGTAGCACTTAACGGCGGTGGCACATCCAAACAAGAGGAGAAAATGGGCAACTGAAGTCAAGAGAGGACAGGACGCCTTCTCTTATAATCAGACATCATGCAGCCAAGTAATAATACTACAATCCAAATTCCACTAATAATATTGTAAACCCTTACATTCAAACCCCACTTCTATGTAATATATTCAATACAACTATATTTATCATTCATACAGTCCACTAAATTGTTTCACCAGCCCAATCATCTTTCTGTACCAGATCATATCAAAAATGATGGTATAGATCCCAAACCATAATAAGGCCTACTTGGGCTAACGGAATCGAGCTTTGGGGCTCTATTAAACCATCAAATTCCTCTCGTATTCAATCCTTACAATCCAAAATCCTTTGTAAAATCCTCAATGCACCTTACTTTGTCACAAATAAAATCACCCATAACGACCTTAGAGTACCATATGTTTCCGATTTAGCCTAATCCAGATTCCTATCCTTCCATAATAAACTTCTGAACCATCCAAACCCTCTTGTTTCCAATCTTGCTTCCTCTTCTATTCCTGATAACCCTCCGAGGCGTCTGAAAAGAAAATGGCCTCGAGACCTTCTAATATAGAAATTTAATTTGAGTCCTACCAATGGGTAGTTTCTCTTCATGTTGTGCATGTCGTGTTACCAATGTCATAATTACTTGTTGTATTTTTCATGTAATACAGCAGTTGTCAATTTCATTAAATAAACAAAACAAAACAATTATTATCATTTTTTATATTTAATGTATTGTTTAATCTTCAACATTGTGTTGATTATTTTATGGCAAATAAAAATATAAATGTTCGTTTGTTCAAACTTGTAAATCTCGGAAAGTTCTTCACACATTGCCTTGAAATTTTGGCTTATTTAATGACGTTGCATTTAAATACACGCATGGTTTAATATACCTAATATAATAAAATATAAAATGAAATTATACATATTTATTAAAAACCATCAGTTGGATGTAAAAGCAACATATGCGGTTCAAAATATTTTACGATACTGTTTCAATATTCAAGATTTTCAAATATCAAACGTGGCAATGCATTAAAATTGCACTATACCATTTACTATAGCATCTACTACCTACTACTACCTTCTACCTCCCTCAACAGAGTTTGCATAACCTTCCCAAGATATTTGATTGCTTGCTTCTCCTTAATATAAACTTGATTAAATATAGAGTTATAAAAATTGTAGTGGAAAAATAAACCTTACTCATGAAAGAAACCCTACGGTAAACAGCATAACCTTATTCTAACGTTACGTTAAAAAAAAATGAATAAAAAGAGCATATAATAGTATTGACCTACATAAGGAGAATCATATTACTTCTTCAAATGATAATTTCAATTACTACAGTAATTATAAAATTTTCGAATAATCGATAAAAAAAAAGTTAAATGGATTTTGCTGAAGAGAAAGTAGTGAATGTTTGAAACTCTATAACTGCAATGAATCGTCCGATTTCGATGATTTTTTATTTTGTCTGGAATTCAGGAAGCCTTCAAATAAATATGGGTATTATCAATCGAAAATTGTGTACTTTTTTATTTAGTCATTGGCAAATAAAATTTTGAATGCATCGTAACCTTTTTTGCACCTTGTTTTCGGGAAAGTTTGTTATATACATAAATTAAAAGGGTTTTAAGGGGAAGACTTTAGCCAAGTTTCATTAAAATCGTTCCAGTTGTTTTGGTGTGACAGTCTATAGCGATATTTTTTTTACACATACATAATTATCGTAGGACAGATGTACTATGCCAGAAACCTTCGTGAGAGTGTACGAAATAACTTCCCCAAGTTTCATAGCAATCAGATGAATGGTTTGTTAATGCATAAAGGACAAACAGACATAGATAGATAGATAGATAGAAGATAGAAGAATCAACTTTATTCTGGGACTACGTCCCTTGAGAATAACAATATTGTACATAAAATTAAACATTACATCTGGCCAAAATGTATATTACAATAAACAAAAACAAACAAACAAACAAAAAAAACAACTAAAAAATAAGGGATAAAAGAAGTGTTTACATAACTGTACAGATATCGGAAGCCATAATATGAGAAATAATGTCCTAATACTGCAAAATAGTTGCTATACACAATACGCTATGAAATTATAAATGAGCGACAGATAATAATAAAGATGTTATAGTAATAGTAGTATGTTCGTAGAACATAATAGTATAATCGAAATACAATAATAGTGTAATCGTACATACACAATATATACACCCAATAATACAATAATAGTGAGAATACAATAATAGTACAATAGTATATATACAATATACATATATTAATATATATATACATATACATACATACAATGCAACAATAGTATAATAATACAATATAGGCTACCCAGCGTCTATACATTCATTTATACATTCATACAGACATACATTCATTTATATATATATATATATATATATATATATATATATATATATATATATATATATATATATATATATATATATGTGTGTGTGTGTGTGTGTGTCTTCTATCATATATTATCAATTATATGAAATTAATGTCAATCTAAACTTGAACAACATCAAATATGTGGTTTGAAGCAATTTTTGCTTAAAGTGAAAATACAATAAATATAATCTCATATATACCCCTGTAACATTTAGTTTTATCGAAACAATGTATAGGATCATTTTTATAGAAATTTTAAAGTACTTTAATATTATACTGAACAATCTTTGCAAAAAAAAAAAACTCATAGTTTTTGAGGTATTCTTAAAAAACTAAAAAAATATAATTTTTCTGTCCTTCTCCTCTCTCTCTCCATCAAAATCCAACACAGGATTCTTTGGGACTTTTTACCAGTTATTGTAGATGAGCTAATAAACAATTTTTGACAAGTTTGATCTTTATTTTCTAATTTTGTGGTCAATCGCTAACTTTACTAGAGTATTATACTAGTTACTAGGGCCGCGGATGTCTTGCCTGCTCATATGAGTATCCTGTAAATCTGCAGTGATCTGCTTAATAGACTCTGTTCAGTTTTGTTCAAGCAGACCTCTAATTACTTGATTATAATCACCCACTCAACTCTTAATGGCTTTATTTTCTAATATAATTTCTTCCTACTGTTAAGCTTGGTCCTCTAGATGTTTTTCTTTTTTCGTCAGTCTCTCACTTAGACAAAAGCCAATGCCCCTGTATTTATTAAGGGCTGTTTCCATATTTTTAATCTTTCCATTTAAATGTGTATCAATGTGATTTACTGCAGCTAGTATTTCTGAAGCGGACGGCTCAGAGTTAAAATTTTGTTTTTCTATTGCAGATTTTTAGTCTGATCAGTCGGGCAGACTGTTGTTTTTTTAAATAGATCTGAGGGCTTCGATTTCTTTATCTGATAAATTAAAACATTTGCCGTGAAATATAACTTTGCATTTGTACCGACAGAGATTACGTCATCATGGGTAACTACAATGTTGCAAACAGTGCACTGAACCATTTTGAATAAAATATTACTTAAAGTTCATGTAAATATGGCAAATAGTTTGTATTGTGATGCAAAAGCAAACACTGTCTAATGCTATCAGGATTATTTTCAACAATAATCCCACAGCTCGGAGATAATTCAATAATTCAATAACCTCACTGAACTTTCCTTGGTTGAACAGCATGAAAATATCGAAAAACTATTAAAATATTAGAAAATTTACCTAAAACTTTAACACTAGGAATTTTTTTTTTTAAATTGGCTAAATGTATGATATTATGAGAGAAAGCAGTAAGAAGATGATAATACGTTGATGTCTCTGACCAGACCGATGAAATAATACTAGACCCTTATATAGAAAAAAAAACGAAATACACAATAAATCGATATACAACCATTTAAATCCTAGAATCAATAGTATTCTCAAAAAATTATGCTAGCAGGAGCATAATAACAGACACTTGAGTTGCAGTTGAAATAGAAAAGGTTGAATTTGTCCTGGAAATAGTTGGATTTGACTTCAAAATTATTGAATTTAACTTGGAAAAAATTGAACTTGACTTAGAAAAAGTTGGACATGACATCGAAATGGTGTACCGCAAAGTGCTTAATCGGAAAATTTATAGTATTACTACTGTTGACCCTCATTTCCAAAAATGTCAAAAAGTTACAATAAATCAAAATTTACATTTAACTAGAAAAAAATTGAATTTGACTCAGAAAAAGTTGAAAATTCAATATATATATTATTTTTAAAATACTAGTTAATTAACACAGAAACGCTGAAATATTGTATAAATGTATGACTCACAGCTGGTGATAACAAAGGAAGTTTGACCAATCCCAGTAATACTTTTAAATGCTGGCTTCTGTTCTCGATGTCATGTTCAATCCAGGCCATAACACCCTGAAATATAATTCATACGACTTCTGTTAAAATTTGAAATCTAAATAATTAGAACTCATAATTATTGATCACTCAAACCATGAAGCCATCAAGACACCCAAACAAACACACACACAATATAAAATTGTTTGTAGCTCATGTATATAAATATGTACGACTTCTTCCACAGAATATTGTTTAGTGATGAAGAAATGTTCTGTAGTGATGGAATGTTAAACTCACAATTTTCATTATTGAGCCGGGCTAAATCTTCGCTGGATGAGGCAAGCAGATATGCAGCGCCTAGCAGTAGTTGCTAAATGTGTGGTTTGGCATTATTGGAAGCCTTATCATTAGTCCCCATGTCATTTCTAGTTCCATAATCTCATAGGTGAGGAGTCAGATGAGGATAGAGGGAGGGAGAGGGGAGGGGAGGCTCCTAGGTCACTTTTTTTGGGATTTTGCTTTTATCAGGAAAACTAAATCACATCAACAAAGACATTCTATACAAATTTAAAGCTGATAAAATTTAATATACTTTTTTTCCGCTATCTCGCTTAGTTTCCGAGATATCCATCCTTAACTATCGCTAAATTGGAAAAAAATATTTACTGCATCAGGAATTTTGGAACTATTCGGATTTAATTGATATTAGGGTCAACAATAATGTTTTCGGGGGCGCCTTTTTATAAAAATACTGTCGGATTTCAGATTAAGCAACCGCTTATCAACTTTTCTGAGAGTATAATAAGGATAAATGGGAAGGAATCAAACAGCTTTAATATGGACAAAGGGGTCAAACAAGGCGAAAGTCTCAGCCCCTTACTGTATATTGTGTTTATGGATGAGATTATGAAAATCTGTAAACATAGGACTGGAAGAACAATTATAGGAAAATGGAATATGAGAACATAACCCAAGCTCTCATTTGGGAAGATGATATTGTTCTCATAACAGACACCCACAAAATTACAGCAAGCGGTTGTGGAATGGGAAGCTGAGCTTGAGAGAAACAGTATGATCATAAACGAAGAAAAAAGTAAGTTTATGCAGATTGGTCGAGAAATCGAAGACATACAAATAAACTGTAGGGGTAAGAATCTGGAGTTGGTATAGGAATATACATACCTAGGGACAGTTGTTGGTAGAAATGTAAAAATAGGCCAAGAGATATCAAATAGGATCAAAAAAGCAAATGTCATTTATTACCAGATCTGCAACATGGTCTTAGGAAAACGAGAGGTGGAAAATACAACTAAGATCCATATTTACAATATATTCTACCTTCCAACCCTATTGTATGGTAGTGAGAGCTGGGTCCTTCTAGATAGGCACAAAAGTAGACTTACCGCTGCCGAAATGAAATATCTGAGAAGAGTAGCTGGCCGAACTAGAGGAGATTTCATTTGAAACGAACAGATTAGAGAAAATGTTAAGGTCCCACCAATGCTGGAAACCATGGAAAAGAAAACGCTCAAATCCAAAGTTCGGTCATGTTATGAGGATGGATGAGGACAGGGAATCCACAAAATTTTTTGAGGCAAGACCCACAGAAAAGAGGCCAAGAGAACGTCCACACAAAACTTGGATTTACGAAATAACCAAGCTCGGACAGAAAAGCAGTTATTTATGTAAGCAATTGGGTTATATGAGAGACCTGGCGAGAGACCGTGATGACTGGCGTAAATGGGTGGAAGCCCCTCCACACTGAAAGGCACTAAGGAGGAAGACAAAGAAGAAGAAGCATAAACTTTTTGTAACTATTAGGATTTAAGCAATATTAGGGTTGCTATTATGTTTTCAGGGGAGCTTTTTATGAAAATACTGTCGGATTTTAGATTGCGCAACCACACATCAACTTTTTGTTACTATTAAGATTTAATCGATATTAGGGTCGAAAATTATGTTTTCGGGGAGGCGCTTTTTATGAAAATAATGTCGGAACTCAGGTTAAACAACCGCGCATCAACTTTTTGTAACCGGGACGAAAAGGCAAAGGAACTGAGTGTGCTGGCGGGACCGAGCTTCTTATCTCTTAGCAGCCTATAACTTGTAGGCCCCCACCACACTCCCCTCCAGTAAGGTCAATGTGATCCTAATCAGCTGTCATCGAAGGAGCCCAACATAACATATTATTAATGGTTTTATTTCCTTGATTCCCTCCCCCCTCCATAGGAATGCATTCTCATCTGTAGTTATAAATTTGCTTAAGCAGAATATTTATGCACACATATATTTATTATCTATTTAAGAATTCTTGATCTATTTATATATTTTGGTATTTTTAATATATTTATATAATTAAATATTTTAATCTATTAAACTTATTCACATTAATTAATCTATGTATATATTTTTAATTAATTTATTTAATGTTAACCTACAGACATAATTTAATTTGTATATATATTTTTAAACATTTTAATCTATCTACATAATTTTAACCTACTAACATTATTTTATCTGAGCATATATTTTTAATCTATTTATTTAATTTTATCTGTGTATATATATTTTTTTTATTTATTTATTTTTAACATGATGTATAATTTTAACTTTTTAACTATTTATAAATTATTTTAACCTATTTATTAATTTGATCTTTTAAAATCTATTTAATGATGTCAAGTAAATGCTTTGAATTTCTGCATTGTTATTTTGTTATAGATATGTAAGACATATCTGCCATGGAAGTTATCACAACTCACTCTAGAAATGTGATAATTTGCTCAGATACCAACTCCTGGAACATGGTCTGGGGGTCCATTCGAACAGACAGAAGAGGTGCTAAACTCAACGAGTTTATTTCTAGAGGCCAGCTAGTCGTCATTAACGATGCCTCTGCCCCACCTACGTTCTCTGGAGGTATGGGTGAGAGCTGGATTGATGTCACGCTGGTCTCGCCGACACTCATAGGGTACATTGTCGATTGGACTACCAGATCTGAAACGAGTTCTGACCACAAAGTACTGGCATTCAGTCTGGCTCAGTACTCGAGAAAGTTCCCACGGTATCAACACTGGCTATATAACCCGCAGAAATGACTGTAGTGCTTTTCGTTGCATGCTGGAGGGAGAACTCGCCGATGAAGATTGGGAAATAGCAGAATCGGAGATTACAGATGACCTGGACTACATGGTATCCCTGGTCACCAATGCTATCCTCAATGCCGCTGAAAACTCCCTCCAACATCGGAAAGCGAGAGCTCAACCAGTTCTATGGTGAACGCTGGCCTTAACAACAATGAAGAGAGAATTCCACAAGGCACGGCGGTCGTATCAGAAGTGCAGATGTGACGAGAGGCAACGAGTATAAGTCCAATAGATGTGGTATTTTCAAAAACTGTTTTTTGATCAGTCGAGGTTCTGTAATTAGGGCTACATCAATGTTCTTGTCTAATAGTATGGCTGTTACTTCGTTTGTGTGATTTCTAATACCATTCGCATTCAATAGGAGAATAGATACGGGTTTGATGGGAGTCATTTAAGGATTTTTTAAAGGAGGAATGAGATAAGATAACAGGTTTGTAAGAAGTGATATCAGTGGGGTGACAAGGGATTAAATTCGGTGAGGAAGGATGTCAATAAACTAGTAAGATCTGTGGCATTAGACGGTGGGGGAATGTGAGGGATTTGATATTGGTTAGGTTGTTGAGGGTTAGGTACATTAGGAGCGATATGATACTGAGGCAGGGGTTGAGTTGGTTGTTCTATACTTCTACTGACAATAATAATTCTATAAATGATAATGTTACTAATAAGAAAATTGATCCTTTAAATAATATAAATAATAATATTATTAGTAATAATAATCTTATAAATAAAAATAATTCTAATAATATACCTATAGCTAGTACTTTTAGTGATAATAATTGTCTAAATACTGATATTCTTATGACTAATCCTATAAATCTGGTTCATCTGGCTGACGTCTGGTTCAGTGAGGATACAATTCGTTGCAGACAATCAGATGGAGGACCAGTAGTAATTATAGAAAAACCAAGTGTATTTTGGGTTCTTTTTTGGAGTCTATAATTAAATGCAATAATTTTCATGTAGTAAAAACTGACACCATTTCGGTATTCAGAAAAGTGAGATTTTGAGTGCGCCTGCCGAGTTTATTCAGCAAATATTTGTTGGCAGAAGTAAATGTTTGATCCTTCTTGGAGCCAATACCTAGTTCTGTACTAGTTATTGTATGTAAGTACTGTTACAAAAGTTGAACTTTGCTTACATCCTTGGGTATTATTTAGATAATCTTTAGCTCTATCAGGTTATTTTCTTTACATGTCAGCATAATAATCCCAATTAGTTAGTATTTTTCTTTGGCTCAGTTAACATGGAATGGGGTGATAAAGAAAACTGAATAGCTGTGATCGTCTTACACAAAGTTGGAAGTTGGAATAGGTCAGAGATTTTCAACACTTTAAAACCTTTGGGTATCAGCCGTATGTTCGTGTACTGCGCTATAAATCAGTGTGGTCTAGACCTCAATACAGAGCGTATGATAGAATTTCAGTCAGTTTATAACCAGCGGTTTTCACAGTTTTTAGAAGGAGTTCTGTCATAATTTTTGGTTAGAACCAACTATTAATCATGTTATATCCACAGACAGGAAAGATTCTTCAATATACCGGCGTCTTACGCCAGAAGAAGAAAGAAACAATCTCAGTTTTAGTCGGCTTAAGGAATCTATTGCAGACATTTTAGATAAGAATAGAAATGGGGAGCGCATGCGCATAGATAGGACTAGCCACAAGATATCTCAGTGTCTCCAGTGACGAGGTTTGGATAACGTCAATTTTTTACCACGTTACTTATGTCATTTTTTTCTCCCTTTTTTTTCTTTTTTCTCACACTTATCGAGATGGTTCTATGGCAAATTTATAGACAGACCATAGTAAGAGAAGAAAAAAAAAACAATAGCATGCACTATCACAATGTGTCAAACCATTTTTCATGGAAAATGTCTAAATACAGACGAGAGCGAATTTAAAGCACAGAGGGCATCACGAAAAAATG